TGGACAAGTGGTTACTGTCACAAGTACAAGGAACCAGCAGAGTAGCCCCTTTGGATAGTGCTCACTATATAAAAAAGCAGCCAGATATGTTTTTCCTGGTATCAGGCGTCTGGCTTCTTGCTTTAAACTATTCAGTCCCTTTGGCTAAAGGACTAAAATAATCTTGATGCCGGAGTGCTGCATTTCCATTTCCATATGATGATCATCTCAACCATATAACTATGATTCCATTAATTCTAACCCTGGGAGCATGATGACAAAGAGAAAGCAAAAATCTGGAATTATGTCCCATTCTCCTCTCTCTCTCTCTCTCTCTTCAGATAAATGGAATTATACCCAGAATGTTTGGCTCTTGTGGGAATTACAGGTCTAAAAACAACACCTTTTTCATGGTGGCACTCTACTTAGTACATAAGGTACTAACATGCAAAGTAGATGGGTGGCTTATGAATTATTCATATTTTGAAATGAACAGGTTGCAGTGGTAACAATTTTCCGTTCAAAAGCATGGAGGCCCAGTGACCCTAACCGATGGTGGGGGGAGCAACTGATACCATTGAAGTGAAGCTTTGTGATAGCAGCAGCCGCTCAAGTAATCACAGTCTCTTCCCCAACTTCTTTGCAGCTAATTACTTATGTTTGCAGTGTTAAGGTAGGTGAGAGAGAGCATATGGGCCTTAGAAGCTGTTGAGATTAAAAAAAATTGCTGCTGAGACTGGGGGAAGTTCTTGGGCATATATGATCACTTATTGTACCTCTGTAGGAAGTAGTTACTGAATTGCAGAGGTAATCTATGGTTCAGTTATAATGTTCTGCCTTCAGTGAAGGGAGTGGAGAAAGGGCCCCACAAACTCAAACCCCATTCCTTGTCTCATTCCAGCTATACTCCTAGGGGCAATGTGTAATCTGAACAATCTGCTTTGTTCAGTGACAAATTATATGCAAAATGTCTGGCACTGATAGTCTATAATGTTATTACTCCAAGATAATGTGGGAAGTCTCTCCCATAATTTGTACATAATAGGTTAGGTTCTAATTATTTTGGCATTAAAAAGTCTTTATAGTTTCTTGTGATGATGGAAACAAAGATACAGGATGGTGCCACATAGGTTTCTTCATTATCCATGATACTTCTGGCTTAAGCTTAACTCTAATGTTTTGCTTCCACCATTGTGCCTGGTTCTAAACATGCTTCTATTATTCAGGACAACATGAGGATTATCTGGTGAATACTGAGGCCCCCATACTAGATTGAGGTTTGCCAAAATGATAAAGGGACTACATGCTGGATTTTACTTTTAGGGGAAGTGGTACAGCCTTGGGTAGCTTTGAATGGGAAGGAGACATAGAAATGAACAAAACCAAATAAAAGAAAATATATCTGCATTGTCAACACAGCCTGCCCTAATTGCTGCACCTATTTAGCCTCAAAGCTAGATAGTTCCTTCTTTCATGTTGCAAACCTTTTGTCTGCTAAATACTTTTAATTCATAATGATGCAACTTGAATAGTTGATAGGGACACAGGAAGTTGCTTTACCGGGTCAGAAACTTTGCTCCTCTTGCCCAGTATTTTCTGTTCTGACTGGCAGTGACTCTAGTGTCACATCACGCTTGGTGTCCTTTTCAGCTGGAGGTGCCAGGGACTGAACCTGAACTAGGAAGTATGAGAAATTTGTTCTAGTTCATTTCAGATCAGGATGTATCCACTTTGCACCTTCTGGACTAAACATGGACTTGGATACAGATTGTGGTTGCAATGCATCTGCTCTACCACTGAGCTGTGGCCCCTAAATAAAAAAATAAAAAAAGAATATTTTTCTTTGGTGATGACCACCACCAAATCTTAGGAATAGTAATTGCATAAGGACCCTCCTAATACACATGCTGTATTTGTATTAGGAGCCAGTGTGGTACAGTGGTTTGAGTGTTGGACTGGGATTTGAGAAATCTGGGTTCTTGTCCTCTCTCAGCCATGAAGCTCACTGAGTCACTCTGGCTACTCATGGACTCTCAGCTTAAATATCTCAAAGGGTGGTTGTTGCAGGAAAGAGGAGAGAAGGAGAACCTTGTAGGCCACTTTAACTTCTTTGCAAGAGGAAGAAAGGTGGGATATTAATATAATAAAAGTAATATTTGTGTGTACTGTTAAACTGGCCTTTTGTTTTGAGATAAAAAGTGAATAACATGGAAACATGGAAATGACTTCTAGCAAGCAGTTTATTAATTGCTTATGAGTTTAGGCAATTACAAGCTGCCACAAGTAGTTAATAGTGCATAAAACTCTAGAGCAGGTCCTTATTGGATCACTGAGGTCCCAGAGGCTACGTCTTTTTCTTGGTGTTACACAAGCATTATGGGCTTCTTTTTCTAGCCCAATTCATACATTCAGTTTGGTGGCATAAGCAAGTGGTAAGGCAAATCTGCACTGGGTTGTGTTTATACTGGTGTGCTCCATTATATGTACAGTTGGAGCCTAACCCATATTGGCAGCAGCATCAAAGGAGCTGAGCAGCGGTGCATTCAGAAGGATGCTAACTAGAAGTTGTAATCGGAGGAACAAACATCTAATTACTTTTACATGAACCTAGCTCAACTGAAAAAGACTCAGCCCAACACATCTCACTGCATCAGTCTCTGTTTCCAAAGTGATAACTCTTGAGAACAGTGAGTGAAGCCTGCTCTGATCCAGCTTTCTAGTAGAGAACCTTTTACCTGTTTGCTCACCTGAACTGCCACCTCTATGCCTTTTCTTTCACTGCTTGTCTATTAGGATTCATAATTGTTGCTTTAATAGGTGACAGTTGAAAACACAGCACAGTTAGAGCAAAGTTTTGTATTCTGCATAGTGTTATTGCTTGTGCCATCAATTCGTCCTGACTTATGGCAACCCTGTGGTGAGTGCCCTCCAAAATGTCCTTGCCTTGACAGCCCTGCTTAGCTCTTCTAAACTCAGGATGGTGGTGTTCTTTATGGAATCAATCCATCTTGCAGTTAGTCTTCCTCTTCTTCAGCCTTTGACTTTGCCTAGTGTTATTGGCTTCCCCAATGAATCTTGTGTTCCTGTGATGTGCCCAAAATATGACAGCTTCAGTTTCGTCAGCTTCCAGGGCAAGTTCTAGTTTGATTTAATCTAAAATCCACTTGTTCATCTCTCGCTCTCTGTTCAAGGTATTCACAAAGCTCTCCTCCAGCATCATTTAGAGTGCATCAATTTTTCCTGGCAGCTTTCTTCACTGTCAAGCTTTCACACTCACACATTGTGATTGGGAATACAATAGTGTGGATGGTCTTGGCCTTGGTCTCCAGTGAAATATCCTTTCTAGTTCCTTCATTGCTGCTGATCCAAGTCTCAGTCTTCTTCAGTTATCTTTGCTGCAGTCTCCCTTTGAATTGTGAATTAAGCCAGTCAATGAAAAATCTTTCACAATTTCGATTTCTACATTTGGCTATTATACCCATATAATTGGGCTCTTGTGTACTAAAGACTGGGAGATATTGTTTCTAGGGGTCTTTGTTGGATGTTTCTAGCTTAGCACAAAAACCTGCAGCTATCACCACCAAGAAGGACACAGTCACTTTTAAAAACAAAAATGAGACCTAACTGGTCCACTTGATTTTTCCCATACAGATTCAAAGGGAAAGAGCTCTGAACCCATTGTATGGATAAACTGAGGCAAGTAAGAGTGAACAGACAAAGATCTTAAGAAGAGTGCTTTGCCATCCTCTGCTGTTGTTCACACTGGGGAGAAGGGAGTTAATTTACTTTTGTCAGCACATACAAGAATGAATAGAACAAATGTTACTTTTTCTTCAAAGATTGCACAATTTAAAACATGACCCTTGTAAGAAGATGCTGAGTGGGGTCATAAGAGTTAGGAAAAGAATTTTCAAGGCTAGAGACTAGCACAAATGGGAAATACACAAATAAGATCTTGGAGAAGAAATCAGTCCTTATCTGAACACATGAAAAAAATAAATGGATTGAAACTTGTGACCAGAGAAGGGAGAGGCATCGCACACACACACGCACAGAGAGAGTGTGGCGGGGGGGGGGGGGAGAGGAAATCAAAGAAGAGGTTTGTGGTATGTTGCTGCTTAACCAGCTGAAAGACATTACAGTCCCAAAATGCAAATCTGACCCAAACATTTGGCAACTGCATAATTTTTGTATGAATGAATCTGCATTGAGGCTCAAATACTTTTCATCTTGCAGTGCAGGGCTCTTGCTTTGCCTTCTGTTCATGCCTTTCATGAATTTAAAACCGGAGCTCAAAAAGTCTGTGATTCAACCCACGTGCAGACAGCTGGCGAGGAAATAATCCCTGGCGAGATCACGGGGGTGCACTTGTGACCACAGGAATGGCATTATAGGGCATATTGTGAGGAGAGGGCACTTGGTGCAGGGATTAAGGAATGCGTTAGGCTGTGACGTTTGTGGTATCTGTTTATGCACGCGTTGGTGGTGGTGCCTCACTAGCAGGGGTGCTTTCGAGTCAGTACTGACCTCAGTTGCCCCTGCATGGTGCTAAGGGCATGGTGCTGCTGAGAATGATGTGCATTTCTCCCAATGCCTTATTGTTATCCTAGGGGATTTTGTGGTGTTTTTTCTTGGTATAATAGTGTGGCTTAGATAGCAAAGGCAATGCTAGACATTTGGCTGAACCCCTCCTGGTGCTTCTAGAAAAAGCTGGGATGTCGGCACTTATGGCCGTATTAAGATGCTTGTAGGCCCGATTTCAGGCCCCATAAAGCCTCCTCTCCACAAGCCCTCTTGCGGAATGCAAGCACGTTCGCTTTGTATAGGTTCCCACGTACTGCTGGGCAGTTGCTGCCTCCCTCTCACTCATGAACCCTTGCGCTTGGCTCAGCCAGTTTGTTGGATGCTACATAAGAGACTCTGATCCTGTGTTTTCAAGAAAGGAAATGGGGGGACGTTGCCTATCACTTCATGAGATGCTTCTAGAGATATTTACATTACTTTGTGTTCTTTTCTTGCAGTTGTCTATCCTGTGTAAATGGGTCCTTCCCTTGCCACTGGTGTAAATATCGTCATATTTGTACTCACAATGCAGCAGACTGTTCCTTCCAGGAAGGGCGTGTCAACATGTCTGAGGTAAGCTACCCAGTTTGCCTTGGCCACTCAGTTTTGTCAATCCTTGCTTAACTCTTCTCATCCCCTTCCTCATAACTCACCTCCTTGATGTTATATTCAAAACATTCACTGGAATTAATAGTACCACCTGGCCCGGCACTGGGCAATTTCTGTCTAGAGTTCTGTTCTGGGCATCTGTATCCAAACTCAGGATGGGGAGGGGTCAAGAGAAAACCACGAAGATGAGACAGAATCTAGAAGCAGGTCATGCTAGAAAAAGTTGAAGGACCTTGGCAGGGTTAGTTGATGAACGAGGACCAGAAGGGAGGGGTGTAGGGAGGTTGTTGACAGTTTTATTCTCACTGCAGAAGGAAGAGAATTGTTCATCCTAGTCACTGCTAGGATTATAAATACGATGCCATACTACAGAAAAGAAAGTTTTAGTTCCTCTTTGACATCTGTACAAATGCCTTGTCAATCACCCTCATCCTGAAAGTATTTATGGAAGCAAGTCCTACTGGGCTTGGAAGAATCTACTAACAAGTAAGTGTGCTTTTAGGTTGCCATCCCAAAGCGTTTCAAAATCTGATGCAGACACTCAAGCGAACATGGCACTTCCTGGATTAGTGCTGAGCTTGTGGTTCCTTTGTGTGATGTAATGCACAGGCTAACTGTGAAGAGAAACCTTTCAGTCCCAAGAGGATTTTGCTTCCTTGTTCTTTTGTGACTTCCATCTTACCTTGGTGCATAGCCATTGTGTAAGCCATTAAGACAGAAGCCTGCAGGCCAGAACATTCATTTCAAATAGGTCACTGTTACACTCTGTATGGTCCTTCCTTCTTCTCCCTGACTCATTTTTGTCAGCCTGACAATTGGACCCTCAAGCACATCATTCACTCTTTTTCTGCTGTGTTGTCAGAAAGTGTTTCTTCAACAAATCTGAGTGTTAAGTATGGACACATTTTTCATTTGGCAACTAACCTGACTTTCAGGGGAGACCTGTGCAGGATTAATCAACAAACATTGTACAATATCAAATGTTCTTAAGGTGACTTAAATATCTGCTGAGGAAACCACTACTTTCTAAAAACTATTATATATTTCATAAAATGTGTGCTTTTTCATCCAACTCTGGTTAATCTGAGTGATAGAAAGTTTGAATTGTCAAGAAGATCAGTGATTCTAAGTGGCAAGCCACCTGCCCTGCAGAAATGAGCCAGCATGAAGCCAATTTTGCTTGCAAACCTTAATTTCTAATCCTTTAATCATTTGTAGCTTGAGCACCAATTCTTTCAGAGTCCCAGGCAGAGCGTGGCTTTCAGATTTTAGGGGGACAAGGTGTGCTTTGAGTAATTGAGTATGCTGGGTAGTGAACTTGGGATAATGGAATGATCACTGCTGTGGCTGTGTATTTTGTAATGGATTTCTTCCAGAGTGAAATGTGGCCCCCCGGAAAAAAGAACTCTCCTTTTGCTTCTCTTGCATTTGCCTTCAAAACTCAAACATTTGGATATATCTGGTGATGGATTCTCTTGAGGAATTTTGCGATTTGGTCTTGTCATCAGGATGCAAAAGAAATCATACTCCTTTGAAGGGACACTGTGGTTCATAAAGGACCCTGTTCCTATAAAAGGACCCTATTCCTATAAACCTCATGCTATAATATAGTTTATAGTCTTGTAAGAAGCCATAAGACTTTGCTGCCATTTCTTTTAGGCTGCAACTAACAAGTCTTAGGGCCAAAGAGGCATGTCAGAGTCCTGTCATGAGTGCCACATCTTTCTGCCAGTGCACAGTTGCTTGTGGCAGGGGAGTTTAGAGTGGGCAACATGGCTGCTCTTTCTGAAATGCAACATGACGTGAGCAAAGCTGGGCTTGGAGAGGGTGATCGAATGTAAAGCCAACCTTGTGCCTGAGACTTCATTGTCTGATCTGGCCCAGACGTACGTCTGCAGGCATCCAAGAATGCCCTCTCCCCTGCTGCTGCTTGGAAGTCTTTCTGTGTTTTTCCTAACTAGATAACATAAACTTGACAATGCAAACCTAGGAAACAGCTCTTCTCTCTCCCATAAATGCAAAATCATGATCTAGCATTTCAGGGCCAAATGGCCAGTGTTATGTGGGAAAAGCTTGAATGCTAGCAACTTTGTCCATTTTAGGGTTTACCTAAAAGTATGTCTTTTAGTTTCTCTCTCTGGGCGTATGCAATTTATGTGGTTTAGTGTAAGGTTCCCCCTTCCCCTTTGACAGCTCCTTCCCCCCCTCCTTCACCTTTCTAGTTACATGGTTGTATTTGAAAGAGATACATTGAAAAAGAGAAATTTAGGTCCTTAGTAGCTAGTTTTAACCATCCAGTTTTTCAGAGTACTTGTCTGTCTGTCTTCTCAAATGTCAGATTCAATCCATCTGAAATATGTGAAGCAATCACAAGAAAAGAGTATCTCTGAACAGATGCAGAATTCCATTACCTTACAGCTTCGCAACCATCACAGCCTGTGCCAGTGAATCTAGGATTGGGCTTGAGGCCTTGTACGTTCTTTTAGAAATGACTTGCTCGATTCTTCTCTCTCCTCTGGCATTCTCTAGTCCACCTTTTTCAAGAGAGACATTTCTTCTAATCTATGACATGTCTCTTAATCTCATTTTAAGACTTAACCAGCCATCATGCATTGTTTGGCCTGATGGCTAGCAGTTTCCCCTTTCTGCTTGGCCCAGTTCAGTTTCTTCCAACTTTGAGTGAGGAGCAGTGTGACCTCTGGGCACAGCCTGACTCAGTGTTTAGCTCTTAGTCCTTGCTTGTTGCGATTCCATTCCTTTCATGGGTTGCTCTGCGCAGGGCAGTGCTCTCCTCAAGGTTTTGTGCTGTGATCCGCAGTACTATGGCCAGCTTGACAGCTCCTGCTTTGTGTTAGATGATTCCCATTCTAATCCTTTGCTCTGAGTGCTGGCATAGCAGAGGGGCCCTCAGCTATATTTTTCACTTCTGTCTCCCTGTGTCATTTCCCACCGTGACTCCTGTCTTGCAGCCACTCCAGGCTGATGAGTGTCGCTCCAGATTGAAGAGGTTGAGCTTCTGGCAATGAACAATTAATTCCCCCCTTCTCCTCCACCCCACCCTTTGTCATCTCGGGGAGTGCAGGCCCTCCAGGAAGACACCACGGGAGATTGGCAGTTACTCATCCAGCACCAGCTACCAGCACCATGATTGCTTTTGCAGGGGCTAGAGATGTGGGAGGAAAGTCGGGATTTATTTTAATTACCATGGGTCAGATTCTGTCAGCTGCTACTAACAGTGGCAGCCACAGCTAAAGTTAGTGAGCCTGATCCTGTTCACATGGAAAAGAACTGAGGAGCTGGATGAAAGGGGCATTGCTTTATAGACCCACTTGATAGGAGGGTTGCTACATCAGCTTTTGGTAAGCTGTGCCTTCATGCTTTCTGAGAGCTGCAGCAGGACTGGCTGCTTTTCTGAAGTAGAACTTACGTTGGAAGAACATAGACAGTGATTAAAGTCTCTTTGTTCTGAACCTGGAAGATCACATGTGGGCCAAGCCTCTGTGATAAACCTGGCCCCAGAAATAAAGAGCAAGCAAGCACCCTGATGTATGCAATACCCACTGAACCTACTCCCTCCCTTAGCCCTTTAGGGCTGAAATAATGAACAGTGCATGACAAGAGTCTAGCTATTGTACTGCTCTGTGTTCACTCATGCTCATCCAGAGTTGCCAGCTGGCAGGAAAAAATAGGTTGAAGTGCTCCTGTGTCTTTAACAGAGATTTGATATGTAAAAATTAGCAGCTGAAGCTTTCCATGCTTAGTGCTAAATTATTACCTGTACCTGTTCATTGCTGCAGATCAAACCGCTGATAAAACTGCACGGATCAGTTCAGAAATTGGCATCCCTAGGCTGAGCTAATTTTAAGAGGTTCAGACAAGCTGATCTGAACTTGTTTCTTCTTCAGATACGGCCTCAGTCATTCCTATTTCTGTAGGGAAGCAGGACAGACAAAATACCACTAGGCTTATGCTCTTAGTGGTAGGTTGCTATGGATGGAACAAACAAGCCTTAGTTTTCACTCCAGACATCTTATTCTCTCATGACTTCCAAAATTAAGCTTTTAAAGTGGGACCTCTGAATACATTCTTGGTACCTCATGCATATGTTTGAGGACAGATTTAGGATAGAAATGCATCCTACTCTTCGGATGCTGTCTTTCCACAAACATAGGATTAATCCTTAGTGCTATTTTAGGCAAACCTTGGTCTGGCTGAATTGCAAGTTGTCTGTACCTTGTGGGTTTTGGCCAGAGAGGTGTAATGGAAAGCTTAAATGCAGTGCCCACACAGGCCCTTAACCCTTTCTCACTTGCTTCTCATTCAGTGTTTCTTAAATTCATGCTGCAAATTAAGGGTATACCAGGCAGCAGTACCTGGACAGATAATGTGTGTGCACTGTATTTGAAAGAGAAAAATAGAGGGGAGTGTTATGTTATGTTATGTTATGTTATGTTATATGTCAGGGGCTTGCTCTGGCCATAGGGTTCTGTAGTTTAGTACATTGGGAATATTCATTGGAACAGCACGGCAGCATCAGAGAAGGATTCCCCTGACCTTTTATTGCATAATTCTATTTGCCTTTGAACAGATGTTGTGCTGAGGCTTCTCTGTTGCCTCTGTGAATTGTGTGTCCTAATTCACTTGGTTTTGAGACTTTTTCCCTTGTTGTCCCATAAATACACAGCATTATGTTTGTTTGTATGTACAGCAATTCTTAAAATAACAGAGATCCTTGCTTAGATAGCGGGACTAAATTTCTCTACTTCATGCCTCAGCTGTTCAACTATTTAAAAAAACCCAACAATTCAAGACTTCTGAATGGTCTGTGATTCAGATACTAGGACAAAATTATATCCTAATAAAACAAGATTTGTTGAGTTTGCAGGCAGGACAGAGGAATGCTTATTTTTGAACTGTTGAATGCATACTTTCAAGGCAGGTATTTAATATGGAGAATTCTAACAAATTGGAATTTAAATTTTAAATTCAGGGACATAGCTAAAATAGAGAAGCAAAAGGAAATTATTGTCTTAAGTCAAAGGTGGGGAGCTGGATTGGTCCTGGGGCCATACTTGGAGTGGGAGGCCATTCTCACATATGAGACTGGCAGGTATGTCTTAGAACAGAGGCAGACAGCATGGTATCCCATGCTAGTCACCTTTTTTAAACGTGCAATGCTTTTGTTTTCAGCGGAGAAGGTAGGTGTAGGAGTATATACATGCCTGTGTGATAGATACATGATCTGCATCAGGGACAGAGACAAGGGGATAGGGAGGAATGAATTGGCTGACAGAGAGGAGGAGTTAGACATTTTCTTATTGTTCTCTTCAATCTTGAGAGCTGGCAACTTGCTTTTCGACTGGATGCTGACACTGACTCAGCACTCTTTCCAAATTTCAGTGCTTGTTGTCCCAGAAGAGTCAAACTGAACATATGCAACCTGGCTGAGCAGATGACATGCATGTGGAGTTTGTGCAAGGGAGTGTTCTCATTTGGCTGCTCCAGAGGAGTGAACATCTGGGGAAAGCCTGGCCAGCATCAGGGTCTCTCATATTCATATATATTCATATGGAGTAGTTTCCAGTCTGACCTCATGAGTGCTGAGCCGTGAAACTCTTTAGCAAAGGCTCTGAAGCACCAGGTGCTTCCTGTTTTTTAGCAGGACAGAATTTTTGCTGGGTGAGACACAGCTCCCCATGGACGCTGATCCTGTGACGTAGCAGGATTGCGTGGGCTCTGGCTCAAAGAGCCTGTCAGAAAATTGTGTACATGTTTGGGGAGGAAGGACATTAGCTTATGCACTGTATTTGCCTAGCCCTCTGTAGAGACATGTTTTGTGCTGGAATGTGGTGTTGTAAGTACTTTTGACCACTCTGTATGCAGCTGTGGCACTCATGCCCATGCATCTAGTTAGTTTACCCAAGGCATCCTGGAATAGGTAGAAGGATTAGCAAGGAGAAGAGAGAGCTGGTTGCATGTGGATTGCTCCTTCATGATAGCGGAACGGAACAGGCTGTTGAATTCATCTTGAAAGGCTTGAAGGACCTCGGACTCCAAGAAGACTGAAAAATTGCAGGGGCAGTGGGGAGAGATTTTCATTTTCAAACCAAGCTGTTTCATGGTTGTCTGTTGGGTTTTGTGACTTTGTGTTAGCCAGGGGAAGGAAGCAAGCATTGGTGGAGGGCATGTGTGGACCAGTAAAACTCTTTGAGATACCTGGTCCTTCTGTAGTTTGACAGAGTTCCAGGAATAGAAAGGAACACATACACCCCCACTGCTGGTTTTGCCTCTGTGAGGAGCTTTTTCCTGAAATGAGCCTTGGGTGAGCTAGACTAAACTTCAGCCTAGCCAGGGAAAAGAGTTGGTCTGCCACCTGTTGGAGCCTCTGATGAATAGGTCTTCAGGCTACCAGGCAGAGTTGCTTAGCCTGTAGCAGTTTGCTTCAAAACATGTTGTTCTCCCCACGCCCTGTTATTTAAAGCAGGGCTATCTTTGCCCCCCAAGTTGGCTGACCTGGGGATTGCATCAGGCTATTATCACCGACGATGTGCTCCTCTGGGATGTAAGGCTGTTTTCTTGCCTGGCCCTGTTTATTTTTATTCTTTCCTTACTCTCTTGTGTTCTACAGCCTGGCTTTTGGGAAGTCAGGGTGGTCCTCCGAGACAGCCTTGATGTTTGCCAAGCATGCTCTGGAGATTCTGCATACCTGCTTTTTCTGGGGTGCTGAACAGCCATGCAAAAGAGGGGGATGGTTCTGCCATGATGCGGGAGGCTAGCGGTCCTCATGCTCAAGTCAGGAATGCATTCTGCCTGAGTCAGGTGTAGCTGCTGCTTTCCAATAGGCATCCCCCTTTGCTTCCAGATGCTGGGACTGGTTGCCATTGATTATTCAGGTTTTACCTGGAAGAGTATGGGCGGTACTAGTGAGCCTTGCTAGGGAGACCTAAGTGCTGCTCTGAGAAGTTCCACATGCAGGTGATTTCCTTGTACTAGGACAGGGATGGTTTTCTAGGTCAGGCATGCTGAGAAAACCAGAGCTATTTTGTTCGTTTGCAAGGTTTCACATGCTTTTTTAGAGGTCTGGCAGCTCACATACTGGATAAGATCTTTAAACAGAGTAGCCTTAAACCTGCTTAATCTCTACCTGGAATGACAAGATTGCTTTTTTTATAGTTTTTATTCCTGCTTATAAATGAGACGTGCTAATTTTGTGTCAGCAGGGTCACTACATCTATAGGATGGTAACACACATGCTGTATGCTGGTATTTATTGCAGTGTTTGTGTCAGTCCTAAGGAGTTACAGGAAGCATTCAGTGGCAAAACCCCATTTTCTTCATTATGAACATGATATATTTGTGTCCAGTCCCATTTGCAAGGAAGTCAGGGTGTCATACATGGATTTTTGTTGTCTGTTTAGCCCTGCAAGGTAGGCTAGCAATAGTACATGGGCCAGTGCCACCTTGTAGGGTTCGTGGCTGATTGGACATTTAAACCTGGTATCTTAGTCTAATGTTCTGTCCACAGCATCACATTGACTGGCTCTGATGTTCAGTCAGGTTGAGTGATGAAATTCTCAGGAAACCACAGGTTTGGTGCAGGAAGATCCTTCCTTTTCCCGGTTTACAGCTGATGCCTGAAACAGGATTGTCCCCTCCACATTGTCCGTGTAGTCTAATATTGTTCCCCTTGCAGTAAATAGGCACACAAGCTACTGGTCAAATGGGCTGAGAACTTCAGCTGGACTAATAAACAAACCTGGGCACATGCATATCCTAATCATACCATCTTGGAGCCCCGTTAACCTCAGCTGTTATTTTGGTTTAAGAAATTAATCTGGAATAATGCGGGGGGGGGGAGAGAATAGCACACTAGCTCTTGCACTGTCTGTTGACATGAACATTACAGGGGCAAGGCACCTTCTTTCACATCGTACAGTGTCCCTTTCCACTGTAGTGGGTATAACTGTTTGCTCTGTATGATACAGAGCCAAGAAACGCTCGTCAACATATGTCTTGTGACTCTTTGTATGACTTCCAGTGTGGGCAACAGGGTGATGGTGTTAAGATTTCTGTTCTTCAAATGGGTGCATATCATATAGAAAGAGTGCAGGCCTTTGTGAATAACCTCCGTAGACGTATCTAGGAGTGTTTGCTTATAATCAGGTGAATGCAGCTGTGCTAGTTTGTGAACCGTGTGCTTTATTTCCAATGTTAAATGGTGTTGCTGAATGTAGAAATGTCAAGAATTGATCTGTTCTGAGGTCTGGATACAATGTTTACATGGTTCAGATGGGAGGCTGATCACAGGCAACACTGCAGGGCAAACACCATGATTTGGGGCCATGGAAGGGCTGGAGGAAGTGTCTTGATGGGTTGGGTGGTCAGTCTAAACTGATACACCTTTGGGAAGGAAGGGAGATACATGAAGAGGCTGACTTGGCAGAGTGACACTAGAACATTGGAATGTGATGGCAATAAGCTGGAAGACTCCATTAGCTAAAGTAGGTTGATGGGAATGAGAAGCTTATACGTTTGAGAGTATTCATTTGAGGTCAGCTGCCAGCAAAGTATATCATCTCAATGCTGAGCAAACTGTAAGCACTCAGTTTACTCTGCCAGAACTCCTGTATTTTGGATAAGGTTAGCATGCTAAACACCTGTTTTGCTGTGATCTTGTTGTGGGCTGATCATGACCACTGGAATGTGAAGATCCTAGTGTGGGCTATCGTGCCACTTAGTGGAGATGCAGATCTATTCCATGTTTTCTCTCTGCTGATTCAAAACCTGTCGTTTTTTCCACTTTCTCACAGGATTGCCCACAGATCCTTCCATCTACCCAGATATATATCCCTGTGGGTGTGGTGAAGCCCATCACCTTAACAGCCAAAAACCTGCCACAGCCACAGTCCGGACAGCGCAATTACGAGTGCATCTTCCATATCCCTGGTAACCCCACCCGTGTCACTGCCCTGCGCTTTAACAGCACCAGCATCCAGTGCCAGAACACCTCGGTGAGTCCACCGCGTGGAGCTTTCCTCTGAAAAGGCTGCTTTGGGGTAATATGGGAGGAGCCCTCTGTTTGCTTCTCATAAACATGTGGTCAGAAATATACAAAGCTCTGAAAGGAAATTCCGGGCTGTTTCCTTAGCATGTAAGATTTCTGAAACATCCTGTAGATCTCTGTTGAAGGGACATCCTGGTTCTTTCTTACTATTTCTAAACTTTTTGAAAAAGCAAAAAGTGTGTGTTCGCGGTGCTCATGTGGCCCTGGATGGAATCCTGATCCTTTCTCTGCTGTTGTGCCTTCCCTCTTTCCTATTTTGCAGTTTCTCTTTCCTGTCAATAGTGTGAAATTGTTCTGTGTAGGATCAACAGCCATCCCTTCCTCCACTGCTTGGCCAAAGCTTCCCAGGGGAATTCAGATGTGTTTTATGAGTATTTCCAGAGAAATCTGCTTATGAAAGCCAGGGAAACCTGCCTGGGCTTGAGCCAGCTTTACTGGTGTCCCAGAAGAGCTCTCTTATCCCACTCTAGCCTGCCTACACTCAGACTGATCCAAGTGTACTAATAGAATTTAGTTCATTCTTATTTCTATCCAGCATTGTATACCTTGCCACAGATACAGACATGGATAGATTCACTTCTGTGGAGTGTTTAGCAATGTTTTCTTCTCTCTCACCGATTCTGCCCATCTCATGCCACACATTCGCTGTCTGCTTGGTGTGATCGCTTCTTTTGCATTCAGACTGTGGTTACTAGTGACCTTAATTCTTGACCTCTTTTGTCCAAGCCTGGGCTCTTCCCCAACATTTCTTTAACACCAGACTCAGCAGATAGATTTGCCATCTGGGACAGGGCTGACCCTCTGTCTGTACAGTTCTGCTGACATAGCTTTGCATCAATATTCTAAGCCACAACGGCTTATCCAGAACTATTTTCCCAGTTAGTAACCACTTTCACTTTATTGTAGCCACTGTGCTGAAGGGGAGAAGGTTTTTCATTACAGTCAGGCCTCATCCGTGGTCTCATATGATGCATTCAGTCCTGGATGAATTCTCTGGAGAGAGCCCTCACCTTAAAGACTGGCAGGTCTAAAGGCTTAATCATCCTTTCCTCTATAGAGGCGTGCCATTCCTTGGCTGACCTGCTGGGCTGCCTTCCAGCTTCCACTCATTTACATGAGAGCCATCCCTCCTCTTCCAGATTCAGATTTAATTATTTTAAATATTCCCTTTTTGTTGCTTGCTCTGTGAAAATTCATTTATGTTACGATGTGAGTGATGTCCCCTGCTCTTCTGCCCTTAAGCACATGAGTGACATTGCAGAATTATGGAAGAGCTAATGTTTGCTTGAAATTAAATGGTCTTCCCTCCCTCCCTTACTCCCATTGTTGTCTGTGTCCTAAACTGAAGCTGAGCGCTCTTGGAGAGCAACATGTGCCTCTTTTGCTCTGGCAACCAACTTTTCCATGTACTGTTTAGACTGTTTGGGCCATGCTTGAATTGGATCCCCCCCCGCCCCGGTCTAATCATGCAGCGGATTGCATCCTAAAGGAATGAAATAGTCTCTAAACTTGAAATAGCAGAGAGTTAGCAAATAATCCTTAGGACAGCAAGAAAAACAAGCAGCAAAAAGAGGAAATAGTGGAGTTACAGATCCAAAAGAAAAGAGGATAGATACTATTGGTTTCATTAGCTAATAGATTTTGGAAATAACAAATTTTGGATTACAGGTTACATCTCTTATATCCCTGTTGTATTTGAGAGATCCTTCATATGTCACTAGAAGTTTGAGAAGAAGTTAGAAATTGATTTCCTTATGTTATATTGCATAATACTGAACTGTTAGATCTCCTCAGTTCCCCTTGGTACTTCACTAATGATACTTCCTTCTCTACTTTTATAGACAATATATGAGCTACATCTAATAAAGTCTATGCAGGATGTCTTGGGAAAGCTTCAGCTGTGATGTAAGAAACTAAAGGCATAAGACTAAACTGGGTTATTGAGACAGCTCTGCCTGAAATGTCTGGAACTGAAATGAAGGAAATATCCATGATGGATGATGCAGAGGATGAGAGAGAACGTTCTTCCTCCTCTCCCCACTTGTAAGGACAGATTGTCCCGTGCCCAATGACAAGGAGCCATTAGAGGCTGGTTGTTTGCAACACTGCTTCTTTGCCACTCTTCCACTCACCAACTTGGAGATGATTTTTCAGAGGTCAAGTGAGCAGCCATTTGCACAGCAGGAGGCCAGTTACACAAAATATCTGCTCAACTGCTGGAGTGCCATTGCGGAAACATATATGTACCCTAATCATAGCCTGCTTCCAGCACTTGAAATGGGGTTGATTAGGAAGCAGGGATAGTGGAGAGGGGGAAGCTGCTACTCGGCCACATTGATGCTTCAGAGGACCAGTAGGAAGGAAGGGGTTTTCTGACCTATTTCAGAGGATAAAGCAGCTGCTAAAATCATTTGTATCACATCAGCTGCACTTCTTACGGAAGACTCAAGCATAAGCCTATGATATATTTCACAATATGCTTATTTATTTAAAAAAAAGACTTGCCCTTCAAAAATATATTCTTGGTGTGTAGTTAAGAATCAGCATAAAGAAAACAGCACGTCATAGCATTATTAAAACAGTGGAAATAGAACAGGGGCATTTAGCAATTGTTTTACCAGAACTGAAAGCAAAGGGAGTTACCTGGTACTAGAATGACATAAAATGGTGCCAGTGAAAGTATTTCAAAACTGTCAGGATGGGTTTCCTAGGGTTGATAATGGTTAGCAGACTAGCAGCAGCATTCTAGGGTAAGCTAAGTGTTCAAGAAATCACCAAAGCCAGCCCCAAATATAATGTATTGCAGTATGTAGTTTTATTTTACTTGCAATATGGCAAGGATTGAGATTGGAACCAGCTGAGAGATCTGCAAGGGTGCTGTGACTAAGAAGACCCTGCTCTCTACACTTGCCAGCGTATTGTTAAATTCCTAACAGATGAATACTGAATCCTATTTCTGTTTTAGGATGGAGTCAGAACACAGAGCAGGGTGCATCATTTTCCTCCCAGCCCATTGGGACTGTGCACCTCACTGCTGCTATTGTCACACTACTGATTTTGCCATCAATATTTGAGAGCCCGTTAGCAGCAAACCCCAGTGATTTTCCTTTAAAATAAGGGGCACAGGGAATGCTCACTATGCTAGGAAGCAAAATCATGATCCTGAATTCTGTTCTTTTTTCCTAAGAATGTGTGTGCTTCCTGCATGCCTTGTTGTAAAAGAAATTGCAGCTTTCTGCTACTGCAGCAACAAGCCTGGCCATGGCAGCAGGTGGCAGGGCTGGCAAATAGAGTCAGGGCAGGGAGCTGCAGGGCAACCGCCTGCTTTAGAGTCCAGACTCAGCTTACTAGGTTTTGTCCATCATGAAGTCCAAATATATTCTCTGGATAAATGTGTGAGAAAGAGAGTAAGAAGGAGAGAGCATTTGAGCTCCTGAAAACTGCTTTTAAATATGCCCTGCCAGTACCTATCCCTGCTCTGTCCTAGTCATTTTACTGCTCTGGGGTGTTACCTATCTCCTGTCTTTGCTTCATTTGCAACTTCTTTTTATTTGAATTTGGAGAACAGTGTTTGTTTTGTTTTTTAGTAGGAAACACGAGAGAGAGAAAACGAACTGATCTTTGCAGCCAGTCTAGTATTCCCTCAACCCAAGATCCTAACTGTAAGCTATGTATGGTTGCAGCTACATTGCTTGTTCTTTCTTGAAGTCTCTACTTACTCCATTTCCATCCATGTTTTGAAATGATGAATCACAGGCTTGAATCCTGTTGCTACTGAGTATCCTCCATCCCATTATTTTTCCAGAAGATGAGCACACAGGGTCAGGGCCTTCCTCTCCAAATCTTTTCTTGAAATCTTCCCATTTCACTTTAGCACACAATTGAGCTTAGCTCACTCTCAAGAGATTTGGGATGTGTGTACTGAAGGACACTGTTTAACAATAAACACCATGGTTGAACAGTGGCAGAAGTGCGGGCTTAATGGGTCTTGAAGGTTGTATCTCAAATGAAGTCTGTAGGAGGGGAATCCTGTATCTATAACAACACAAAACCTGAAAGAAGAGAGAATATAGTATCTATAAGTGCGAGACTGGGTCAAGTATTAGAAGGACACGAGGTAACTTGAATTCTGCCTGTGCTGTTACTAGTTGATAAGACAATACTAAAGGAATGAATACCTTGGAATATTTTCAGAACAGCTGGTTGGATTTCTGTAGATTTTGCTTAAAGGCTGACTTGTAGCCATTTGGTATAAGGATCAGTGCAGTCACCCTCAGCTTCCTAGCCATTTGTACAATGGGAACACAGAGATGGCTGAATAGAAAAATAAGTCAATAGCTGGTATGTGGCAGATAAGTACTGTTAATAATGAAAGCAGTCATACAGAGGTCCTGAAAGGAGAATTCAGACTTCATATTGGTGTCAAATAACCCAGTGATACAATCCAGGAAAAGTTAGTGCATATGGACTATCTTGCACACATACCTATGAATTCCCATTGATGTACTTGAGTCAACAGTGTGATGTGGTGGTCAAGAGGGCAAATGCCACCTTGGTTGCATAGCCAGAAGTGTGACTTCTAGATTGAGAGAGGTATTCCTACCACTTTATATGAATCTGGTGTGCCCGCAACTGGAGTACTGTGTTCAGTTCTGGGCTCCACGTTACAGGAAGGATTTAGCCAGCTTAGAGTCAGTGAAGTGTAGGGCCACAAGGATGGTGGCTGGATGGCAGGGAAAGCCATATGAGGTGAGACCGAGGGAACTGGGTCTTTTCAGGCTGGAGAAGAGGAGACTCTGAAGGGATCTGTTAGGGACATATACGTGAGGGGGTGTCACACAGAAGTGGATAGAGACCTGTTCTCCCCTTCAGAAGAAGGCAGGATGTGCCCCACGGGAGCCAAGCTCGGGGAGCCAAGGTTCAATTTGGATGTCAGGAAGTATTTCC